ACACAGGTGAGGGGGGAGGAGACAACACAGGACACCAGGTGCACACAATCATCAGCCACAGACATCAACTGTACTGTGCAATCACGCTAATAAAGTGCAATATTACCCGGCCTGAAGCCGTCAGTCCATAGTGACGAAGTTACCTTCGTCACACGGGTCAAAGATCCTATCTACTTTCCAAACCAGTAATTAAAATCTCTTAAAACATCTGCAAAAACAACATGCTGGGACGAAGCTAGTAGCTAAGACCACAGAGACTCAGCCGACGCCACTCCACCTCCACCTAAGCAACAGCGGCTGGATTTTAACCAAAGGACTGCTAGCCAGGGAAAAGTCGATAAAGCCATTGCACAGTATGTTGTAGAACACATGCAGGCTATTGCTACAGTGGAGTCACCCGCTTTCAGAGAGCTAGTTAGCATGATACCATGTCCGGGCGGCACACGGTATATGGGACGGAACACTTTTTCCAACTACCTGGAGAAAGAATATACAAAAATGGAAAGCCAGCTAATATCGATGCAATCCAGATTGCATATAATGCATGTCAAGTTGATCAACAGATTGTATTATTCTCCAATGTAATAACAGTACTGAAATGAAGGCTATAAGGGCATTAATGGGAGCCCTTTTTTTAAGTAACGAAAACGTTACTTTTCACAGTAACGCATTACTTTTTGGTGTAAGTAATCAGTAAAGTAACTGAGTTACTTTTGAAATGAAATAACTAGTTACTGGTTTTCAGTAACTAGCACAACACTGCCCTTGAATGATGCGATAGTAGACTAAAAGCTTTAGGAATCCAAACTATAACATAATAAGTACCCTATATCAAGATTGATGCAAAACAAGAGACATTTTACGTTTTTTGCTTCCCCTGTCGTGAGTTCTGATCGCTCAGTGATGATACCAATACCTATATAAACTGTGGAATCTCAGCTCTAATCTGATATCTTGTATGTGCAGTTATGATAAGTAATAAGGGTATTTTTACCTTGAGTTATGTGCTAAATGCGTTAGCATTTTTTCGCTCAGGGCTCATTTAGACGCTTCTTGTGAGACTTTTGCTTTGTTTCAGTCAAAATTGTTCGCATCTTCAGTTAGCTGAGTTTCATACCGTTAAATGAGTATGACACATTAATAGGATATTAAGATGCCCTGAGACACAGTTTCGTGAAAAAACACCACGCCGGGCTTAACAGGTTTTAAGTATCTGCAGGGACCCTGTTCAAAGTAACTAATTTACAGATTTCATTTAATCATAAATACTAATTAAGAGACTTACAATCTTATGTTAGCTAACATTCGGCAATGTATGCTATTGAAGTAATCATCCAAAACATGTTATATTGCTTTTTTATTTGAAGTTCTTAAAAAATATCTATTGTTGATTTTGTAGGTAAAAATGTATTAATAAATGACAGAATACATAATAATAATAGTTACAATACAAATAACAATTGTATTTGTATTGTGTTTTAGGGGACAGTTCTCTGGGGTAAAAATATATTAAATGTTAAAACAACACTTAAATACGGAAGAGGATTAGGGCCACATGATTTTTTTTGGGAGGATTTGAAAAAAACGTCAGAATGCTGACTTTAATCTCAGAATTCAGATTTTTTTCTCAGAATTCTGACTTTAATCTCAGAATTCTGACTTTTCTCAGAATTTTGAGATTAAAATCAGAATTTTTTTTTTCCCAAAAAAAACATTTTTTTTTGTTCTGAGAAAAAAGTCAGAATTCTGAGATTAAAATCAGAATTCTGAGATTAAAATCAGAATTCTGAGATTAAAGTCAGAATTCTGTTCTCAGAACAAAAAAAAAACATTTTTTTCTTCAAATCCTCACAAAAAAATGTTTAATGTGGCCCTAATCCTCTTCCGTACTTAAAATATGCAAGACACAACATTAATAACAGATTCAAAGAAGTTGAGAAGATGTGAGTTTTGTGAATTGAACATGGAGAGATTGGTGCAGCAATTATTAGTAGCAATTAGTAATAGATTTGTGGCCAACTCTTTGGTTATATAAATAATGAAAATATTAAAAAGAATGATTCCTTATTTCATCTAATGCCTCTAGGTCCCTATTAAAACTAAAATGTTAATGTGTCCCGCTCTGCGTCTCCAGAGGAACACATCAGTTTAACGCTGTGCAAACTTAATCTCCTCCATATGCATACAATCTGTCGTAATTGGCAGTAGGACGCAAACATGAGCTGAGCCAATTAGTCATTTCTATGTGATACTGATGATTCCTACATACAGTATGTCAACTTGAAAACTGTGGTTATGGAAACAGCCATGGGGCTAGTCTAGTCTACAGATGGAGACTAGACTCCTACTAGCTGATCATAGCGGGTTGACCTCTTGGCCACAATTCCACTTGTCTGTCAAACTGTTGCTTGATGCACAAGCCGTGGTGTTCAAGGCATGAGGGCAAATCGGATTTAATGTGCGAGTTGTGAATTACAGTACAGAAATGTCTAAGGATTCAGAATGTTTCCAAAACCTTAACTGTATGTGCTGCAGGAATGAATATGATCATTTAGGGATCGTTTAGCTGCACAATTCAATTCAGCTAATGCGGAAGCTGGAAGTGATTTTCCATAACAAGTCCTTAGCCTAATATTTCCCTGAATTAAATGTAACATTACATTGAGGCAGATGGTAGAAAATGGAGTGCAAACCACAAACTGAGAATGAATCTTAGAATGTCAAGAAATTAAACAGTTAACAATTAACAGAACTCTCAGGCAGATTAAAGATGTTGGCAGATGGTTGGCATCTGGCAATGCTCACACTTGTTTCTGTACCTTTTTGTGGCCTGACATTCTCAAAATGTGTCTTTAGATTCTGTTGCCAGAAACATCCTATTGCTCGTAGGAAGCATGCCATAAATGAATGCATTCTCAACAGTGGCGACCCGTCAGGGCCCTCTAGGCCCTCTCTGAGGGCCTAATATATTCTACTAAATAATATTTTCTTTAGTTTTACTAAAAATAACTTGATTTAATTGTATTTAAAATAACACTTCCAAAGAAATAAATCCTTTGAATCTGCCTATTCAGTTTCTGTTTGAATGTGAAGGGTTAAATGAAAGAAGCTCGTCTCTGCGAGGTGAAGATAGGAGCTGATTGGTGGTCCTGCTGTAAATTCACAGAGGACCCATTATAGTAACTGAACGAGAGAGTAAATGACAGTACAATTGACCAATCATATCTTCCCTCTAAATGGGTGGGTTTTATTATCGCAGACTTTAGGACAAGTTCCACCCACTGTGAAGCTTTTCTTGTTTCCATAGCAACAACAACTTCCTGTCAACAGCGTAAACTTGCCTTCAAAATAAAAGCATGCCAAATTACACTTAAGACATACAACTGCAATGAAAGTAACAAACACAATGCAATATCCTTTTCAATTTCAAAGAACACAAATTGGGTTATTTACAGGTGTTGTTTTGTGTAGAGGGTTGCTTTCATTGATGCGTTTTGCACCCCGGGCCGTTGTTTTGATATTCCGCTGAAGTATACGCTGTGACGTAATAACTATTTTATTTAATTTTTTCGAGGGAAAGGGTGGGGGTCAGAGGGCCAAGGTATAAAAGTCACGGCTCGCCACTGATTCTCAAATAAAAGTTGGTTTGCTGTCACAGCCAGATAAGGGAAGCCCGGATGAAGACCGTTTGAGAAATTGTTGAATTATATGCTCTTTTTATGCTATAGCTCCAAGGGAATCTCAGCATGAAGTCAATTTACACAGAACGTACTTAATAATTAGAACAACAGAGTCACGTCCAACCTAAATCATGTTCAATGTGTTGGAGCGCTAGCTAGCCAATAAGTGTTACAAAGTGATGTCACTCTGTTTGGGTAGTAAACAAAGGAGTCCAACAGAAGCATTTTCCCCCAGGGGGGGAGAGTGTGGAAGAGAAACTCCCTTCGGAGGGAACACAGGGATGTTAGCCTTTGCAGACCATTTACATGAACAAAAACATATACTACAGCAAATGGAAAACCCTCCCAAAAAAACTAAAGCATAATAGGGCCTCTTTAAACACTTGTATCTGATCAGTATTTGGTGCATCTCTAATTTTAAACATATGTGACCCGCTCTATCGAAATCAGTCGCAACAGCTCATTTAAAAATATTTGAAATGTGCGTAAAAAAATTGTTTCAGGGGTTTGGGTGTTTTGTTTGATTTTAAATAAACAGTCTTGGCTTTCAGAATATGAAACTTTTATTCCCAAAATCACACGATAAATATATTTTTGAAGCTTGTAAAGGGAAGATGACCGCTCTCACTCGCAATCTGCTCTTCCTCAGCACCGCCCCCCCTCCCTCCGGCTGAAATTATGAATGTAAGCGTATAGTAATCATAGATAACACGGCAGGGTCCGTTACAGTTTGTTTTCATCTGATTTCAATTAAACAAAGTCTTGGCTTTTAGAATATTAAACTTGTTTGGGCAAATTCAGATGATAGATACAGCTTTGAAGCTTGTAACGGCATAATTACAAGCGGAGAACGGAGTAACTTGACGTCACTGCAGGCATAACAACAGCCGGCGTTTCTCGTCAGTGTTTTCCCCGGGAAACAAACACAATACACACAAACGCAAAAATACACACACACACACACTCGCAAGCTTCCCCCAGACCAGTAATCCAAACGAAAATATCTTCCCTCCTTACTACTTTGATCATTTGCTCCGCTAATAATCAATCAGATCGATGGATTCCAGAGAAGAGGAAACTTTGAAGGCCTTTTTCTCAAAATGATGACTCGGTGACAGTCATTATATAATGTGACATATTTCGCTTAATATTTGTAGTACAAAAACAATCCTGATATCATTAGAAAGCTAGGAATCTCCTCTTTCCAACAGTGTATACAACTCAAAATGTGTCTTTGGGTCAATGCGACTGATTTCAATGGAGCAGGTCACATATGTTGGACAATAGACACAAAAAACTAATAAACATGCAACATCTCACCTTTCTCTTGTTAGTTGGACAGACGTACAGGTAACTCAGGACAGTTTTGGTTCCCACTTTGTCGTTCATTCTGTCGTATGTTGAGCCGTAGTCAGTAGATCTGAGCGGGGGAGATAAAGGCAAATTTAGATAAACGTGAGAAAAGCAAAGTTTGCTGAAAACGTAATTGGTAGACAAACAAACTAAGTATTACTGGGACATTGCTCGATTTGGGTGAAATGATTTTGCACTGATGAAAACAATGCAATATGTAACCACAGGGTGAAAGAACAGTCATATGCAGGCTTATGCTGTACTGTACGTATACTGTTACTGTGTGTGAGAGTAAAACCTCTGGCAATACAACAAAAGAAAGTTAACCAATCATCTGGAGCTGCCAACGAAAACGAGCCATTGGAAAATGTCCGGGGACTCAGCACTGTTAATAATTAATTCTCTCCCGATGACTGCTATGAAATAAAATATGAAGAGTGCAAAAAACATGTGGATGTTCCTGAACTCATGGGCTTTAATAATTGAACAGTGGGAATGAGCCTGTTAGTATGGAAGCCTGTTTGCGCCACAGGAAAAAAAATCAAAAATCAAAAATCCTGTAAGTCAATATATTGACTTAGCAATTCACTTATGAATGCCTTATTCTACATGACCATATTCTACAAGTAATCTGTGCATGTTACACTTGCATGTATGAGATCATTAAGTGCCTTGTAACTTATTTTGTTATAGTTTCACTCCGTTTGAATGTGATTGCATTAATAAGTGTTTTATAATGACTAATAAAGAGCCAATATACTGCTAATATGCATGTTAATTAACAACTAGTTGATGGTTAATTTCTGTACCTTAATATAAAGTTGTACCGCTGATATGATGAACATTGATGTCTATGTGCCTTATTCTGTATTTGACATAATTGTTTCAATAAAACAATATATATATATATATAACTCAATATAATGAGATAGCTAAGTCAATATATTGAGATAGTAAGTCAATATATTGAGATAGTAAGTCAATATATTGACTTACAGGATTTTTTTATTTTTTTTCCTGTGGTGCAAACAGGTGCATATGTTAGCCAGCCTAGTCCCTAGAAACTCCACATGAATCCATCATCACTAGTAACCACCAAATCCACCTTCAAGTAGAATAATACAGTATTTACAGGGCTCTATTCGCCTTCCCCTTTTCGCTGTCAAAGCTGTATTCATGTGCCTAGGATTTTACAAATATTTCCCTCTGAGGGGATAGAAGTACCCAGCCACAACGGTGGCATAACTCACATTTTGCAGTCACAAGGAGAGTGAAGATGATACATATTTGAGCGTCAGTTCCTTTTTTAGTCAGAGCCTGCTTCTTATGCTCTTCCACGTGAATGGGGTTTCAGAAAAATACATTTATCTCATTCTCGAATGCCTCTGAGACACAGTAGTTGCTATGATTACAAAGCACAATAATGAGTCGGGCAGACAGCAACATTTCCAAGCATTTTGTGGGGAGGTATGTGTGTGTGTAGGGGGGGGGGGTGCTGCAGTGTGAATGATCCCGAATTCGAGCAGGGGCGGTGAACTATACCTCTTGGAATCTGTGTTACACTGCCTGAGAAGAGACTTCCTAAATAGCCGAGAAGCATATGTTATTTTTGGCATGACATGGATAAGTACGAGTGCCAGGCGTGCCTTCATCATCTAGTCACCGAAAACGCATATGGTTAGATAGATTCTTTAATGGCTATGGAGACAGACAGCAGGGAGATGTCAGCTCTCGGACTTGGAGCAAGATACATCACATCAAATCAAGTTTTATTTATATAGCACATTTATAAACGATTTTTGGTCGAGCCAAAGTGCTGTACATATAATAAAAATAGCCTACAGTAGAGACACTTTACAGCAAATACAACAGCACAGATTGTTCAGAATATCAGTATGAGAAAAACATATTAACCGCCCCGACTTCTACCATGCCAAGGAGCTGATTTTAAAGAGGAGATGGCAGAATTACAAATGAAAGGTTTCCATTGGCAGTGTCAATGCTGCAGGATGAGCCAGTGGTTTCATTTTACTGTGTCTAAAAGGCAAGAGTTTGAGGGTGGGGACTCGAGTCACATATTTTTGGACTTGAGACTTGCTTGACTAACATTGATATGGAGAGGGAGAGAGAGAGAGAGAGAGAGCGTAGAGTAGAGAGAGAGAGAGAGAGAGAGATCGAGACGAGATGAGAGACGAGAGAGGATAGAGAGGAGCGAAGAGAGAGATAGAGAAGAGAGATAGAGAGAGAGAGGCAATATACTGCACTGTGTATATATATATATATATACACAGTGCAGTACATTGCATTGTGTGGTCATCAAATGATTAGGCAGAAATTGCATTAGGGGAATGTTTGTTAGGTTTTGCCAGAGAGAGAGAGATGCGTGTATTATTATCAGAAGTTACTGTAAACTTTTGAATAATGTAGTTCATCTACTTTTAGTAGTTTGTTTAAATGTTTTAATGATGTTGTTTTTGTTTGTAGAAGTGCATCATTGATTTATTGTAAAATGAATCTGAACTTTTTGATCTGTTATGATGATAAACTGAAGCAATTTCAAAATGAACCCAATTAAGTGAGTTTTAAATTGTCCTACTTAGTTTATAAGGAAATTATGAAGAGGAACAAATTAAATGATTTGAAAATGATATCTATGTAGGCGCTGACGCTGTTGGCGGTTCTAGTGTTAACAGACATTTAAATTAAATATGTGTAATGGCAAATGCCATATATGATTTCTGGAATTCTGCCTTTTTGAACAGACTTTTTGAGTCCTAGCTATATTGTCTGCAGTTCTAGGGTTAATATGAATCTAATATGATTGTCATCGGTCTAAATTAGATTTCAAATGATTAACTGTGTATGTAATGAAGATCATAGTGAGGGTTGAATCCATTTTCATAACCACTGTCTTTTAACTGATTTAAATGCGGAAACTGGGCTTATTCATCAGCATTTCGTATGACTTGACTTGACTTGCTTGACCTGAGCAATGACTTGACTTGACTTGCTTGACCTGAGCAATGACTTGACATGACTTGACTTGCTTGACTCTCACCACAGTGACTTGGGACTTGTTTGATACTTGTAGGTCAAGACTTGAGACTTGCTCATGACTTGCACATGTAGGACTTACTCCTACATGTGCAGGACGCGTCCTGGGTAGGTTCCCCCGCTCACATCACCGACCGGCCATCATTAAAATTCCAGCACTGGTGCAACGGGTACCAGGGAAACCTGTCAAACGATGGAACCTTCGAAAGGCCAACTGGGAGTCATTTGTTGAGGAGACGGCAAGAAGGTCAGCTGGTCTGCCAGACCCAGAAGCAGCAGATGCGGACGCGGCCTACGCAGCCTACTGTGAAGTCCTCCTGGGTGCGGCAAAGAAGACCATTCCGTGTGGCTATAACAGGAACTACATCCCGGGTTGGGACGAGGAGTGCAGCCGTCTTCTGTGTGACCACCAGAGGGCTAGCTCCAGAGAAGAGGTGGCCATGACTGCAACAGCACTGCTCCAGAGGCTGGACGTCACCCGCAGGACCAGATGGACAGAAGTCGTTGAATCAATCGACTTCACCCACTCTAGTTGTAAGGCGTAGCAGACTATCAACCAGCTTACAGGCAGAAATACAACGCCCCCCAGGTGCCCAGTCACAGCAGATGCCATCGCATCCCAGCTCCTGAAGAACGGCCGCTTCCCGGACGCAGACAAAGACTTCGCCCGACTGACATTGCGCTAGGTGTCTTCCATCCTGGGAGCGGACAGTGTCGACTCCAAACCTCTCGGGAGACTTTACAGCCGATTAAATCAGTGAGGCCATAAGTAAGCTCAAGCCGGGCAAATCTCCGGGCCACGACAACATCCACCCAGAGTTCGTCATCCACCAGAGCACAACAACATCTGGCTGGCTCTGTGCAGTCTTCTCGTCGTGCTACCGGAAGTCAAAGCTCCCAAAGACCTGGCGCCGCGCCTCCGTCATAGCTCTGCCGAAGCCAAATAAACCTGCGGAAGACCCAAAGTCATACAGACCCATCTCGCTGCTCCGTGTCCCATTCAAGATTTTGGAGAGGATGATCCATAGCCGCATCGAGCCAGTGGTGGACTCACAGCTTCCACGAGAACAAGCTGGTTTTCGACGTGGAAGGTCAACAGTGGACCAGGTAACGCTACCCTCTCAGGACATCGAAGACAGCTTCCAGGACAATGAGAAAGCTGGGGTAGTGTACCTGGACCTGACTGCCGCATATGACACCATCTGGCACCGTGGACTCCACCTGAAGCTGTTGAGGACAATACCAGACCGGCATATGATTAAGTTCATCATGGAGACGCTTACCAACCGCAGCTTTGTCCTCCAGACCAGCAATGGCCAACACAGTAGGCTCAGAAGACGGTGTTCCGCAGGGGTCGGTTCTCTCACGATTCTGTTCAACATTTATGTACATGACTTACCTGACACAACATCCAGAAAGTACGGCTATGCAGACGATCTAGCCATCATGCTGAGACGACCAACATGGAAGGCAATGGAAGATGGCCTTAACGACGACCTGGGCACCCTTGGTAGCATACTTTCAAAGGTGGCGTCTACAGCTCAACATCGGAAAGACAGTTGCAGCGGCATACCATCTTAGCACCAGAGAAGCTAGGAGGGAACTTGAGGTGCGTGTCAACAATAAACGTCTGGAGGTCCAGCAAGCCCCGAAGTACCTCGGTGTGCGTCTGGATCGGACACTGTCCTTCAAACAACACCTTGAATAAGTCAAGGCCAAGGTAACATCAAGGGTCGCGCTGATCCGCCGCCTCGCTGGAACAACCTGGGGAGCCTGCGCTAAGACGTTGCGAATATCGACCCAAGCCCTGGTCTTCTCTGCAGCAGAATACTGCGCCCCAGCCTGGAGCAGAAGCCCACACGCAAGTAAGGTTGACGTGGTCATCAACAACGCCCTCAGGATTATAACTGGATGCTTGAAGCCTACCCCTGTGTCCCTCTTGCCAGTCCTCGCGGGAATAGCTCCGGCCGGCGTCCGACGGGAGGCTGCCACCCTCGCCCTGGCCAGGAAAGC